GGCCGCCAGTCGGCCATTTCAAACTCGATCCGAAAAAAAAAAAAGGCGTGCATCAAGGTCCTATTATGTTTAATGTATGTACCAAATTTGAACGAAATCCGTCCATGCATAACTGAGATCTGGGTCCGGAATGGTGAAAATGTGCGATTTCAATGCATTTTGGACCTTAAAGTAGGGAGTACAGTGAAAAAATAAATTATTCCAAATAGCTTTATTGACAGTATGACTTTGTTACTCAGTCAAAAAGAAACAAAACAAAAAAAAATTGAACAAAATTGGTTCAGTAGTTTTCAAGATATTGCATGTTGAATGTACTGAAAAACGTGCATTTTTGGTAAAATTGCTGGAAAAATCGTCAAATCAAGCATTTTCAAGTTTTAGATCACTGATAACACCAGGAAAATGTAATCTGGAAAGATGTTTTTTTTTTGTTAACAACAGCATTATACTTGTTTTAATAAAATTTAACTAAGTAGTCTCTTACAATACACCACAATCTGCACAGAAGACAGGCAAAGTTTGACAAAATTCAGTTTGACTTAGTTTTTTTGGGTGCGGCACCGTTGAAAATTGGCATATTCATGAAGTTTGGAGACCTGTAACTCAAAAATTAGAAACTGAATCACAGTAAAATTTTGGCTTGGTGATGACATCAGTTTATAGACAGCATAAACGGTATGTTTTGATTCATAGCATCCTTACTTTTGTGGAGACAGTTTGTGCAAAATTGAAATAAACATTAATTTGTCTTTTGCAAGGTGGCGGCCATTTTGGATTTTCAACACTTTTGAATGTAAATTAACATTCAATACTTAGAGTTTGCTTTATTAATAAGAAACCTTTATAATATTAAATTAATATTATTCAACTATTCAATTTTCATTTTAAAATGAAATTTAGGGGTTAGGGGTGACCAAGGCAGTTTGTGGGGGGGGGGCACGCAACTTAGAAGGAAAAACCCCATAACTATGGGTTGACTTTTATTTCTATCTCATAAGATTTGTACATTTAATTATAAAATGTGTAATTAGTAAACAATTATACATGTGAATCACTGGGCTATACAAAACAAACCCACCCCCTCAATCAACATTGAGGTGAACATGTCTTGTACAACAAGCATATTTTAGCATAGTAAATTTATATTTAACACCGAATAATTACACTTTAGTTTTCTGCAAAAATTGTCAGCCTATAACTTTATGAAAAGTACTTTGTTTTAAAATTGTTATACAGTGCATCAATCCTGGTTACGTTGTCCACTTTCCATGCCCTCAATAAAGAGTCCTTTGGAGCGATGTTAATTTCTGATAAAACAAATTTTATGTCAATGTTATCGATGTCATTACGTGATGGCCACCTAAATGAGTCACCAGTTTTCCTCTCCAGACAATTTACTGTTACAGTGGTAGAGTCAGAAGAAACCGCTATTATTTCACCAGCAAACCACTGTGCTTCATACATGTATGCTACAGCTACATACATGCCAACAGTCGCATGTTTTATTCCAAAAGTATTGTGTACATTCTTCTTCACTCTTTTCTTGCTCCGTACTGGTACTGCATCATTTGCTTTTCTTTTCCTGATGTTATCATTTATTTCTTTCACATACTCTGGCATGCCTCCATTTGCTCTTATGATTGATTTCAGATTGTCTGTAAGTTCTTGTACAGTTAAAACAATTTTGTTACTTTGCCATTTTGCTAATTTCTTGTTTGGTAGATTTGATTTCAGTACTTGACAATGGTAGGATATTTGATCTTTTATTGCTTTCATTTGTTGCACTCTATTCATCTGTGTCAGCATCATGTCAACTTCTCTCTCTGTTTCCCAAATTCCCCACTTATTTTTTATTCGTAATTCTAATTGTGCTTTTATTTGTCTTTTGCGCTCTAGCAGTTTACGGTTTTTTTCCAGTCTTTCAGTCTGCAGCAAAAGTCTTTTTTTTTTAATGTTTCTGCTGTGAACAAATTCCTTCTTTCTTCTTTCAGGGGCTTGTTTTCGTGCGATTGATAAATATTTTCTTTTGATGTCTGTTCCCAAATTATAGAGATATAATGAGGTTTTGTTTTTGTTGAAACAGATACAACCAGCTTTTGAAACCCGACTTTTCTGTGGCGCCCTGTGAATGTTGCGATCAAGATCAGAGAAATCCGACTCTGATCTTACATTAGTTAAGGGTGCACTTGCAACTTCTGTCGCAATGACTCAGAAGGCTGGTTTCTAAACACAGGTAATGATTACCAACCTGTCTCTCTACGATGACCAGCATAGCTTTGCAGATACACTGTGCACTTTCTAATGTTAATGTGTTTAGTTCTGGACTACATTCTTTGAATAGTGCAGCATAGATTCATCCTTGTTTATTAAACTGTTGGTAATGTACTTTGTTTCTTTCAACAGTGGTGTTGCATCAATCGCGTTGTCTGCTAGGCAGGTTTTTAATTCTAACCAGTGTATGTTCATATCATAATAATTCATATCTTTTTCCAGAAGTCGCATCAAAGGTCCAGTTACCAGCTTAGAAATAATTCCAAGGGCTCTGCACTCTGCAATTATAACCTGTTCATCCAAAACAGTCTGAACCTGGCTTATGAGTTTATTTGTAGAATTACATCGTCCTGATGACAGAAAATCTGAAATGTGCTGTTTGTGATAGTACAATGCAGCTCCCTGGTAAAATGCAACGTTGAATCTATTGTGTTCAAACTTTATCAATCTATTTTTCTCTTTCAGCTCATCTTCTAAATATGGCCCAAAATCAGTGTACACACCAGATTTTTGACAACCCTCATCAGTAAAACCTTTACTCGCTTGATATAACAAATTAAAACAAAATGACTGATTAGATTTATACCAAGCAAGTTTTTCAGTGTTAATTTGATCTTGTTTTTCCTTTTCAAATTCAATGCATGCTGAACTGGCTGCGGCAGCCATATTTACCAATACATGCATTCCGCATAGAAGATGGTTCACAGTTTTCATTTTTGTCTTTTCATTTTCATCAAATGAGTCCCAGTTTTGTTCAACAATAGGCAATAAAGATTCACGCATTACTTCCATCTTGCTTTTATATTTTTTGTTCACAACATGTCTGTCACTCATAATATTTTTGCTTCGAAGAATTAGTTGTGCGTATATATTTTTTTTTTCTTCATCATTTACAGCTATTGACTGAGCTAGTTCTTCAAATGTTTCTATGGTAGCATTCATGTAGTCATCAGCTGACCCACTAAGCAATTCTTGGAAACCAAGAGACAATGATGACCTGTCTGGCAATGAAACCTGAAGGCCAGCATAGTCAATAAACTTTTTTCGAGTGCCATCACTGTGAAGTGTGTTTGGATCCTGTTGCTCAAGTATTGCAGTGGCAGCTTGGGGCTTGAGCCAATACCAGGGCTTCGACCTGCATCATGGACGTCAGGGACTTACTTGGCAACCTATCAACATCAACATTCAGGATGTTCTTGAGCACTGACTTTACAACTGCTGTGCAGTTTTGTACCGAAACATTGTGTGTCAAAAGATCATAATAAACCTGTCTTATACTATCTGTATACTTTCCATTTTCAAAGGTTTTAATTTCGTTTGCATCCATCAAATCTTCTATTTTTTCACGTAGCTTCATATTGTCATTTTCTAAATGTTTCACGTGTTCCAGATTACTCTTCACTTTCTGAGAATGGTGTTCACTTGCTGACTGGGCTTTTGTTTTCCAGTAACTTTTGCTTTTCTGAAGGTTTTTTTTTTCCATTAAGATCTGATCTAATTTCTCTTGTAGTATTTCATTATCTCTTGTTGATTGGTTTATGTCATGTATATATTCTTTCATCACTTTATTTTGTTCTTCAATCTGATGTGTCATCTTCTTTATTTTCTCATCTCGCCTTTTAATTTTTTTGTTGAAATTTCTGGGAGTTAATGCTGCAAGTTTTGCTTTTAAATCATTTATTTGAATCAATTTCTGCCTATACTTGTCTTGCTTCTTGCTCATTTCACTAATTTTATCTAGTGCAGCTAATTTCTCACGTGAAAGCTCTTCCATACTTTGAGTAATTTCGCTAATTTCTTGGTAACTGTCAGCAAGATTTCTACTCAAACTTTCTAGAATGTTTTCCAGATCTTGATTACTTCTACTTGTTTCACTTACAGTTTCACTGACTTCATTGGGATTTGTCCTTGGAGCTTTGTATGACTTGCTTAGGAAGTCATCTAACTCATGCTGATGTTTGCTGCATTTCAGTTTTAAATATGCATCATGTAGCCGAGTCCACTGGCGTCTAATTCCAGTGACATTTAGTTTTGTTTCAGCACTAGGCCGCATAAATACATTTAACCAATTTAAAGCATTAGCCCAGGGAAGATTGTTTCTAATAAGAAAATTACGAAGTTCTAACACATTCTTAATTTCTAGCTTGATACTGTTATCCTGACTGGCTGTGAAACTACATGATATCAAAACTTGTGGTGTGACACTCTTTTCTGCAAACACTGCTGATAAACATTTTGCAGACTGTGTTGCTATAACTGTACTCAAGACTTGAACTTCCTTTCCATCTTTTCTAGCTTTCTCTACATTTCTGCGTACTCGTTTTGTTAAGTTGCTAATTTTCACTGGTAAAACAATATCTGGGTCAAAAAGCCTAATTATATCTGGCATGGTTTGTTGTATATTAATTCCCATTTTCTGCAGATCATCATGTAAATTTAAATACAGACCATAACTTAGTGGAACATTGCAGCTAATATCAACTAACTTCTTCTGCCCTGACAATAAACTTTCTAAGTTGTCCCTGATTCTAAGTGACACATCCATATTGGAATATCTAAATATAAAAAACAAACAATATTTATTATCTGTTTCTAATGTCTAACAAGAGTATATTAACGAGTTTAGAAATTAATTACTTATATGTTAGAACTAGGAAAAAACACAGAAAACAAACAATTGTGACTAAAAAGTGTATTTTATTTACAACATAAACAACTGTGAACACAAATTAAACAGGCAAAAATAATTGAAAAAAAAATCCAAACAAACAAATAATTGAGATGATTTAATTCTCTCATGCCATAAGGTAATAATAATGTGATTTTCGAAATCTTCAAAATCAAAGCCACGAAAGAAGTAAAGTCGATGTTGAACTTTGAATGAGCTACCGGTACTCAGATTTATAGTGCATAGCGTCGGCATATGGTTTCAAAATGCACGTAAACAACACAGAATTTCCCTAATAGTATACCAAATAATCGTGCAAAGTACAATTCACAAATAATTAATGGTAATGCCGGCGTAATAACAATAATATCGCGCTTTTGAAGCTTTGCGAATAATTGCCGTATTTTTTGAACCCGGCAACTAAACCCGTAGAAAATTTGCATTCAACCACTTCATTGCCGATTATGTGCCGAAATTAATGTAAAATAACAAAGGACCTTGTAAATTCGGTCACAAAATAATCGTACGAGAATTAGTTTCTTTGAAATCAATGTTACTACCCAGAAATTGGCGTCCCGTGAAGTGTAGACCTCCAAGGAAAAGTTCTGGTCGACTCAAAAATTGGCGCGTCGCCATTTTTACGTTCGATCTCAACTTTTGACCTGTCTTCCGATGACCTCGATTTTGTACCGGAGTTTTCTCAGTGGAGCTGGTCAATGAATAATTACAATAATAGTTTTAAACGACAGTTAAAATAGTAAACATGGTGAAACTTTCAGTTTAAAAAATTTACATACCGTATTTACATAAGAAAACGAACGGACAAAACTTTGACCTCAATTTTCTTTCGCATGAGTCATAGCTGCATAAATTAAACTAGTACCATCTTACAGCGAATTTTATTGGCCATATTTTCATCTGTGTTTGAAAGATCTGTGTTGATTGGCTCCCCTTTGGCTTTTCTGTTTTATATCACGCACCCTGCAAAATGTCGAGGGCCATGTTTATTTACAGCGCAGTTTTATCACTAATGGTCGATTTTTCCGGCGGGAGTGTGATTCAGTCACACATCGTACCAAGCTTTTTACGCGCGAAATAGACACACGACTAACCTATTTCAATAATTAGCGTTATTTTATCGATGTGCAACGTCTAGAATTTGTAAAATAAAAGTTTAAAATTCTTGGGAAAAGTTACAGCGTGCGTGAATTCGTACGGCCGCCATATTGGATTCTGAACTCCCTACATATACACTACACTAACCTTCACAGTGGCCATAGACACTACATTAACCTTCAGTGGCCATAGACACTACATTAACCTTCACAGTGGTCATATACACTACATTAACCTTCACAGTGGCCATAGACACAGCATTAACCTTCAGTGTACATATACACTACATTAACCTTCACAGTGGCCATAGACACTACATTAACCTTCAGTGGCCATAGACACTACATTAACCTTCACAGTGGTCATATACACTACATTAACCTTCACAGTGGCCATAGACACAGCATTAACCTTCAGTGTACATATACACTACATTAACCTTCACAGTGGCCATAGACACTACATTAACCTTCAGTGGCCATAGACACTACATTAACCTTCACAGTGGCCATAGACACTACATTAACTTCAGTGTACATATACACTACACTAACCTTCAGTGTCCATAGACACAGCATTAACCTTCAGTGTCCATATACACTACATTAACCTTCACAGTGGCCATAGACACTACATTAACCTTCAGTGTACATATAGTAGGGAGTACAGTGAAAAAATAAATTATTCCAAATAGCTTTATTGACAGTATGACTTTGTTACTCAGTCAAAAAGAAACAAAACAAAAAAAAATTGAACAAAATTGGTTCAGTAGTTTTCAAGATATTGCATGTTGAATGTACTGAAAAACGTGCATTTTTGGTAAAATTGCTGGAAAAATCGTCAAATCAAGCATTTTCAAGTTTTAGATCACTGATAACACCAGGAAAATGTAATCTGGAAAGATGTTTTTTTTTTTGTTAACAACAGCATTATACTTGTTTTAATAAAATTTAACTAAGTAGTCTCTTACAATACACCACAATCTGCACAGAAGACAGGCAAAGTTTGACAAAATTCAGTTTGACTTAGTTTTTTTGGGTGCGGCACCGTTGAAAATTGGCATATTCATGAAGTTTCGAGACCTGTAACTCAAAAATTAGAAACTGAATCACAGTAAAATTTTGGCTTGGTGATGACATCAGTTTATAGACAGCATAAACAGTATGTTTTGATTCATAGCATCCTTACTTTTGTGGAGACAGTTTGTGCAAAATTGAAATAAACATTAATTTGTCTTTTGCAAGGTGGCGGCCATTTTGGATTTTCAACACTTTTGAATGTAAATTAACATTCAATACTTAGAGTTTGCTTTATTAATAAGAAACCTTTATAATATTAAATTAATATTATTCAACTATTCAATTTTCATATTAATATGAGATTTAGGGGTTAGGGGTGACCAAGGCAGTTTGTGGGGGGGGGGGGTGCACGCAACTTAGAAGGGAAAACCCATAACTATGGGTTGACTTTTATTTCTATCTCATAAGATTTGTACATTTAATTATAAAATGTGTAATTAGTAAACAATTATACATGTGAATCACTGGGCTATACAAAACAAACCCACCCCCTCAATCAACATTGAGGTGAACATGTCTTGTACAACAAGCATATTTTAGCATAGAAAATTTATATTTAACACCGAATAATTACACTTTAGTTTTCTGCAAAAATTGTCAGCCTATAACTTTATGAAAAGTACTTTGTTTTAAAATTTTTATACAGTGCATCAATCCTGGTTACGTTGTCCACTTTCCATGCCCTCATTAAAGAGTCCTTTGGAGCGATGTGAATTTCTGATAAAACAAATTTTATGTCAATGTTATCGATGTCATTACGTAATGGCCACCTAAATGAGTCACCAGTTTTCCTCTCCAGACAATTTACTGTTACAGTGGTAGAGTCAGAAGAAACCCCTATTATTTCACCAGCAAACCACTGTGCTTCATATGCTACAGCTACATACATGCCAACAGTCACATGGTTTATTCCAAAAGAATTGTGTACATTCTTCTTCACTCTTTTCTTGCTCCGTACTGGTACTGCATCATTTGCTTTTCTTTTCCTGATGTTATCATTTATTTCTTTCACATACTCTGGCATGCCTCCATTTGCTCTTATGATTGATTTCAGATTGTCTGTAAGTTCTTGTACAGTTAAAACAATTTTGTTACTTTGCCATTTTGCTAATTTCTTGTTTGGTAGATTTGATTTCAGTACTTGACAATGGTAGGATATTTGATCTTTTATTGCTTTCATTTGTTGCACTCTATTCATCTGTGTCAGCATCATGTCAACTTCTCTCTCTGTTTCCCAAATTCCCCACTTATTTTTTATTCGTAATTCTAATTGTGCTTTTATTTGTCTTTTGCGCTCTAGCAGTTTACGTTTTTTTTCCAGTCTTTCAGTCTGCAGCAAAAGTCTTTTTTTTTTAATGTTTCTGCTGTGAACAAATTCCTTCTTTCTTCTTTCAGGGGCTTGTTTTCGTGCGATTGATAAATATTTTCTTTTGATGTCTGTTCCCAAATTATAGAGATACATGTATAATGAGGTTTTGTTTTTGTTGAAACAGATACAACCAGCTTTTGAAACCCGACTTTTCTGTGGCGCCCTGTGAATGTTGCGATCAAGATCAGAGAAATCCGACTCTGATCTTACATTAGTTAAGGGTGCACTTGCAACTTCTTGTCGCAATGACTCAGAGGGCTGGTTTTCTAAACCACCAGGTAATTGATTACCAACCTGTCTCTCTACGATGACCAGCATAGCTTTGCAGATACACTGTGCACTTTCTAATGTTAATGTGTTTAGTTCTGGATTACATTCGTTGAATAGTGCAGCATAGATTTCATCCTTGTTTATTAAACTGTTGGTAATGTACTTTGTTTCTTTCAACAGTGGTGTTGCATCAATCGCGTTGTCTGCTAGACAGGTTTTTAATTCTAACCAGTGTATGTTCATATCATAATAATTCATATCTTTTTCCAGAAGTCGCATCAAAGGTCCAGTTACCAGCTTAGAAATAATTCCAAGGGCTCTGCACTCTGCAATTATAACATGTTCATCCAAAACAGCCTGAACCTGGCTTATGAGTTTATTTGTAGAATTACATCGTCTGATGACAGAAAATCGGAAATGTGCATTTTGTGATAGTACAATGCAGCTCCCTGGTAAAATGCAACGTTGAATCTATTGTGTTCAAACTTTATCAATCTATTTTTCTCTTTCAGCTCATCTTCTAAATATGGCCCAAAATCAGTGTACACACCAGATTTTTGACAACCCTCATCAGTAAAACCTTTACTCGCTTGATATAACAAATTAAAACAAAATGACTGATTAGATTTATACCAAGCAAGTTTTTCAGTGTTAATTTGATCTTGTTTTTCCTTTTCAAATTCAATGCATGCTGAACTGGCTGCGGGAGCCATATTTACCAATACATGCATTCCGCATAGAAGATGGTTCACAGTTTTCATTTTCGTCTTTTCATTTTCATCAAATGAGTCCCAGTTTTGTTCAAAAATAGGCAATAAAGATTCACGCATTTCTTCCATCTTGCTTTTATATTTTTTGTTCACAACATGTCTGTCACTCATAATATTTTTGCTTCGAAGAATTAGTTGTGCGTATATATTTTTTTTTTCTTCATCGTTTACAGCTATTGACTGAGCTAGTTCTTCAAATGTTTCTATGGTAGCATTCATGTAGTCATCAGCTGACCCACTAAGCAATTCTTGGAAACCAAGAGACAATGATGACCTGTCTGGCAATGAAACCTGAAGGCCAGCATAATCAATAAACTTTTTTCGAGTGCCATCACTGTGAAGTGTGTTTGGATCCTGTTGCTCAAGTATTGCAGTGGCAGCTTGGGCTTGAGCCAATACCAGGGCTTCGACCTGCATCAAGGATGTCAGGGACTTACTTGGCAACCTATCAACATCTACATTCAGGATGTTCTTGAGCACTGACTTTACAACTGCTGTGCAGTTTTGTACTGAAACATTGTGTGTCAAAAGATCATAATAAACCTGTCTTATACTATCTGTATACTTTCCATTTTCAAAGGTTTTAATTTCGTTTGCATCCATCAAATCTTCTATTTTTTCACGTAGCTTCATATTGTCATTTTCTAAATGTTTCATGTGTTCCAGATTACTCTTCACTTTCTGAGAATGGTGTTCACTTGCTGACTGGGCTTTTGTTTTCCAGTAACTTTTGCTTTTCTGAAGGTTTTTTTTTTCCATTAAAATCTGATCTAATTTCTCTTGTAGTATTTCATTATCTCTTGTTGATTGGTTTATGTCATGTATATATTCTTTCATCACTTTATTTTGTTCTTCAATCTGATGTGTCATCTTCTTTATTTTCTCATCTCGCCTTTTAATTTTTTTGTTGAAATTTCTGGGAGTTAATGCTGCAAGTTTTGCTTTTAAATCATTTATTTGAATCAATTTCTGCCTATACTTGTCTTGCTTCTTGCTCATTTCACTAATTTTATCTAGTGCAGCTAATTTCTCACGTGAAAGCTCTTCCATACTTTGAGTAATTTCGCTAATTTCTTGGTAACTGTCAGCAAGATTTCTACTCAAACTTTCTAGAATGTTTTCCAGATCTTGATTACTTCTACTTGTTTCACTTACAGTTTCACTGACTTCATTGGGATTTGTCCTTGGAGCTTTGTATGACTTGCTTAGGAAGTCATCTAACTCATGCTGACGTTTGCTGCATTTCAGTTTTAAATATGCATCATGTAGCCGAGTCCACTGGCGTCTAATTCCAGTGACATTTAGTTTTGTTTCAGCACTAGGCCGCATAAATACATTTAACCAATTTAAAGCATTAGCCCAGGGAAGATTGTTTCTAATAAGAAAATTATGAAGTTCTAACACATGCTTAATTTCTAGGTTGATACTGTTATCCTGACTGGCTGAGAAACTACATGATATCAAAACTTGTGGTGTGACACTCTTTTCTGCAAACACTGCTGATAAACATTTTGCAGACTGTGTTGCTATAACTGTACTCAAGACTTGAACTTCCTTTCCATCTTTTCTAGCTTTCTCTACATTTCTCCGTACTCGTTTTGTTAAGTTGCTAATTTTCACTGGTAAAACAATATCTGGGTCAAAAAGCCTAATTATATCTGGCATGGTTTGTTGTATATTAATTCCCATTTTCTGCAGATCATCATGTAAATTTAAATACAGACCATAACTTAGTGGAACATTGCAGCTAATATCAACTAACTTCTTCTGCCCTGACAATAAACTTTCTAAGTTGTCCCTGATTCTAAGTGACACATCCATATTGGAATATCTAAATATAAAAAACAAACAATATTTATTATCTGTTTCTAATGTCTAACAAGAGTATATTAACGAGTTTAGAAATTAATTACTTATACTGTATGTTAGAACTAGGAAAAAACACAGAAAACAATTGTGACTAAAAAGTGTATTTTATTTACAACATAAACAACTGTTGAATAATAATAAAGTGAACACAAATTAAACAGGCAAAAATAATTGAAAAAAAAAATCCAAACAAACAAATAATTGAGATGATTTAATTCTCTCATGCCATAAGGTAATAATAATGTGATTTTCGAAATCTTCAAAATCAAAGCCACGAAAGAAGTAAAGTCGATGTTGAACTTTGAATGAGCTACCGGTACTCAGATTTATAGTGCATAGCGTCGGCATATGGTTTCAAAATGCACGTAAACAACACAGAATTTCCCTATAAGTATACCAAATAATCGTGCAAAGTACAATTCACAAATAATTAATGGTAATGCCGGCGTAATAACGATAATATCGCGCTTTTGAAGCTTTGCGAATAATTGCCGTATTTTTTGAACCCGGCAACTAAACCCGTAGAAAATTTGCATTCAACCACTTCATTGCCGATTATGTGCCGAAATTAATGTAAAATAACAAAGGACCTTGTAAATTCGGTCACAAAATAATCGTACGAGAATTAGTTTCTTTGGAAAATCAATGTTACTACCCAGAAATTGGCGTCCCGTGAAGTGTAGACCTCCAAGAAAAAGTTCTGGTCGACTCAAAAATTGGCGCGTCGCCATTTTTACGTTCGATCTCAACTTTTGACCCGTCTTCCGATGACCTCGATTTTGTACCGGAGTTTTCTCAGTGGAGCTGGTCAATGAATAATTACAATAATAGTTTTAAACGACAGTTAAAATAGTAAACATGGTGAAACTTTCAGTTTAAAAAATTTACATACCGTATTTACATAAGAAAACGAACGGACAAAACTTTGACCTCAATTTTCTTTCGCATGAGTCATAGCTGCATAAATTAAACTAGTACCATCTTACACCGAATTTTATTGGCCATATTTTCATCTGTGTTTGAAAGTTCTGTGTTGATTGGCTCCCCTTTGGCTTTTCTGTTTTATATCACGCACCCTGCAAAATGTCGAGGGCCATGTTTATTTACAGCGCAATTTTATCGCTAATGGTCGATTTTTCCGGCGGGAGTGTGATTCAGTCACACATCGTACCAAGCTTTTTACGCGCGAAATAGACACACGACTAACCTAATTTCAATAATTAGCGTTATTTTATCGATGTGCAACGTCTAGAATTTGTAAAATAAAAGTTTAAAATTCTTGGGAAAAGTTACAGCGTGCGTGAATTCGTACGGCCGCCATATTGGAATCAGGAAGAGATTGTCTTAAAAGACCATGAGACCAGTACGATATAGGGATGAAGATTTTGTAAGGTTCAAATGACCTGCCTGACACTGATGATAAAATCAACAGTGTAACAAACACGTCACATGAATATAATGGAGATGATGACCAGCAAACGTGTACAGTAATAAAAGAACACAAAGAAGATAACAGCGCAACAAGGAATCTGACAAGAGCTATTCAACACTGGAAAGTGTGAGAATAAAACAAGCAGCCTGTCGGCTGAGATAGCTCCGCTGTAAGCAATGCACATTTCAATTAAAGAACTGAAGATATCATTAGAAAATGAACAATATGTATAGTATCAAAGCAAAGGACCTTGCTGTTTTCAACAAGCATTCAAAAATATCACTTTTCACCAAAAATGACAAAAATAATCATCAAAATAAATTAAGTAATTGAAGATATCACCACGAAATTAACAAATCTGAGAGGTCCACATGTAATACCTATATATGTAATATAAAAGCAATCAGACTTGTGGTTTTTAACAAGAAGTCGAAAATATCACTTTTTACCAAAAATGACAAAAATATTCACCAAAATTAGAGAATTAAAGATATCATTACAAAATGAACAAATCTGAGAGAGGTTCACATGTAGTACCTATGTATGTAATATCAAAGCAATCGGACTTACAGTTTTTAACAAGAAGTCGAAAATATCACTTTTTACCGAAAATTACAAAAATATTCACCAAAATTAGAGCATTGAAGATATCATCACAAAATGAACAAATCTGAGAGAGGTTCACATGTAGTACCTATATATGTAATATCAAAGCAATCGGACTTACAGTTTTCAACATGAAGTCGAAAATATCACTTTTTACCAAAAATGACAAAAATATTCACCAAAACTAGAGAATTAAAGATATCATTACAAAATGAATAAATCTGAGTGAGGTCCACTTGTAGTACCTATATATGTAGTATCAAAGCAATTGGACTTGCGGTTTTTAACAAGAAGTCGAAAATATCACTTTTTACCAAAAATGACAAAAATATTCACCAAAATTAGAGAATTAAAGATATCATTACAAAATGAACAAATCTGAGAGAGATCCACATGTAGTACCTATATATGTAATATCAAAGCAATTGCACTTGTGGTTTTTAACAAGAAGTCGAAAATATCACTTTTTACCAAAAATGACAAAAATATTCACCAAAATTAGAGAATTGAAGATATCATCACGAAATGAACAAATCGGAGAGGGGTCCACATGTAGTACCTATATATGTAGTATCAAAGCGATTGGACTTGCGGTTTTTAACAAGAAGTCGAAAATATCACTTTTTACCAAAAATGACAAAAATATTCACCAAAATTAGAGAATTAAAGATATCATTACAAAATGAACAAATCTGAGAGAGGTCCACATGTAGTACCTATATATGTAATATCAAAGCAATTGCACTTGCGGTTTTTAACAAGAAGTCGAAAATATCACTTTTTACCAAAAATGACAAAAATATTCACCAAAATTAGAGAATTAAAGATATCATTACAAAATGAACAAATCTGAGAGAGGTCCACATGTAGTACCTATATATGTAATATCAAAGCAATTGCACTTGCGGTTTTTAACAAGAAGTCGAAAATATCATTTTTTACCAAAAATGACAAAATATTCACCAAAATTAGAGAATTGAAGATATCATCACGAAATGAACAAATCTGAGAGAGGTCCACATGTAGTACCTATATATGTAGTATCAAAGCGATTGGACTTGCGGTTTTTAACAAGAAGTCGAAAATATCACTTTTTACCAAAAATGACAAAAATATTCACCAAAATTAGAGAATTAAAGATATCATTACAAAATGAACAAATCTGAGAGAGGTCCACATGTAGTACCTATATATGTAATATCAAAGCAATTGCACTTGCGGTTTTTAACAAAAAGTCGAAAAATATCACTTTTTACCGAAAATTACAAAAATATTCACCAAAATAAATTAATTAAAGAATTGAAGATATCATCACAAAATGAACAAATCTGAGAGGTCCACATGTAGTACCTATATATGTAATATTAAAGCAATCGGACTTACAGTTTTCAACAAGAAGTCGAAAATATCACTTTTTACCCAAAATGACAAAACTATTCACCAAAATTAGAGAATTAAAGATATCATTAAAAAATGAACAAATCTGAGAGAGGTCCACATGTAGTACCTATATATGTAATATCAAAGCAATTGCACTTGCGGTTTTTAACAAGAAGTCGAAAATATCACTTTTTACCAAAAATGACAAAAATATTCACCAAAATTAGAGAATTGAAGATATCATCACGAAATGAACAAATCTGAGAGAGGTCCACATGTAGTACCTATATATGTAGTATCAAAGCGATTTGACTTGCGATTTTTAACAAGAAGTCGAAAATATCACTTTTTACCAAAAATGACAAAAATATTCACCAAAATTAGAGAATTAAAAATATCATTACAAAATCAACAAATCTGAGATAGGTCCACATGTAGTACCTATATATGTAATATCAAAGCAATTGCACTTGCGGTTTTTAACAAGAAGTCGAAAATATCACTTTTTACCAAAAATGACAAAAATATTCACCAAAATTAGAGAATTAAAGATATCATTACAAAATGAACAAATCTGAGAGAGGTCCACATGTAGTACCTATATATGTAATATCAAAGCAATTGAACTATTGGCTTTTAACAAGAAGTCGTAAATATCACTTTTTACCCAAATGACAAAAATATTCACCAAAATTAGAGAATTAAAGATATCATTACAAAATGAACAAATCTGAGAGAGGTCCACATGTAGTACCTATATATGTAATATCAAAGCAATTGCACTTGCGGTTTTTAACAAGAAGTCGAAAATATCACTTTTTACCAAAAATGACAAAAATATTCACCAAAATTAGAGAATTGAAGATATCAACATGAAATGAACAAATATAAGAGAGGTCTACCCAAGGTACATATACACCAAGTATCAAAGCATCAGGCTTGTAGTTTTCAAGAAGTCGAAAAAGTAAAACATTGACACGGACGACGACGACGGACAATCGCTCATATGATAAAGCTCCGCTCGACAAAGTCGACAGCGGAGCTAAAAAGTCAGATGGCTGTCAATCGGCCATCCTTGACCAGATTTTGAAACAAATTGTCATGGACATGCATCCTAACATGTATAAAGTATATGTATGTGCCAAATTTGAATGAAAACTGACAGAGCATGTCCAAGATACCGCATATAAAACAAGCAGCCTATCGGCTGAGATAGCTCCGCTGTTAGCAATGCACATTTCAATTAAAGAAGTGAAGACATCATTAGAAAATGAACAATATGAATAGTATCAAAGCAATCGGACTTACAGTTTTTAACAAGAAGTCAAAAATATCACTTTTTACCAAAAATTACAAAAATATTCACCAAAATAAATTAATTAGAGAATTGAAGATATCATCACAAAACGAACAAATCTGAGAGAGGTCCACATGTAGTACCTATATATGTAATATCAAAGCAATCGGACTTACAGTTTTCAACAAGAAGTCGAAAATATCACTTTTTACCAAAAATGACAAAAATATTCACCAA